AGACAGCAGGATTTAAGCAAAAATCAGATGGCATTGAATTTGGCACAGGAGAAAGGCAGCTACCAAATCCTTCCGAGAAACGAGAAGAGGGAAAACAAGTTTTGTCATATAAAACCTATGATTTTGCTCACAGTGGAAACAATCTTGTCTTCATTTTATAAGTAACTTCTTTATGAAACTATAAATACAGTGAAATGAAGACCACTTCCTTTCACAGCATAACTGGAAACCGAGTATTACTGAGCACTTATAACAATCAGCAGTGAACAAGAATTTATCTTCCAGAAAGTCACAGCTACACAGTTATCTTCAGTATAAAGATCAGAGAATCAGGAACAGAGAAGATCTGGAAACCCTTTAAAAAAAAAAGTGAAACCCTAACCCAGATGAATCAATACAGTTCAAACAATTTAAAGCTGTACCCTCTATTGTGCTGCTTTCTCCAGCCTGGACTCCTGCTTCCTGAATGGTCTCCTCCTTTGCTGTAGCACCCATCACCAACACTGTGCTTTCAGAAGTCTCTTCTTCTAGTCTAGGAGCAGTTACTTTTGCTTCTGACTCCTGTGCCTCCTTCACCTTTTCTTCTTCTCCTCTGGATACCAGATTTTGCTTTATGTCTTCCTGAGTCACTGATGAAGCTTTCAGCTGAATAGCTGCTACTTGGGTTCCAATGGACTTGTCCTCGAAATAATCAGATTTATGAGTGACATTTGTCAGGTCTTGGCTTTCAACCAGGAGTGGTTTTAAGACCAGCTTCTGCCCATCCGCTTCTTTTGGAGCTGATTTTACTTTGGGGTCTCTTGCTTTGGATTTTGATGTTTCATGGCTGACTGATGTTTTAGAAAATGCAACCTGCTTGACAGGAGTTTCTGTTTTTTGTAGCTGCTTCTTAGCCACATATTCTTTGTGAGATTTCTGGGACAAGTTTTCTTTTGCTAGCATTGATGCCTTTACCGCTATGTTCTCAGAAAACACAGAATCTCGTCTAGGAAACTCAACTTTGGTTTTGATGGCAACTTTTGCATCATCACTATCATTTTCTTCCTCAGAATCTGAGCTAGAATCTGAATCTGAGCTGGATGAAGATGAAGTTTCTTCCTCAACTATCTCCTTCCTCAAGCCTCCTTCTGTTGCAGGTTGAGTGAGGTTTTCCTCCCCAAGGGAAGAAACAACTAACCGCTGAGGAAATTCAACCACAGTTTTTCTTGACATGAACTTCCTCATATCTTCAGCAGAAGGTTTTGAAGCTTCCTCGAGGTTAGTACTAGATATGCTCTCACCTTTGTTTGCAGATGCTAGGAGAGAGCTAGAAGACAACATTTTAGGAAATTCAACTGGTGCCTTGATGGGTAGCAGCCTGGTGCTTCCCTGTGGTGCCACTAGATCTAGGAAACGGCATAAAGAGGATTATCACCATTATATCTGACACTCGTGTTAGTTAGTGATCTTAGTCATACAATTTTAACTTTATGAGATAATCTGTTACAAAAAGCAAACTGAAAGAAGTTGTTATACTAAATAAAGGCATTATAAAGCTGTAAGTTTTAAGACATTTGAAGTTTAAAACCCCCACAGTTCTAGTTAGCACTTAACAGTTTTTGCTGCTGCGCTTTTCTCCTCACTTTGCCAGACTCCTCACAAGAGCTGTTCTTCTGTGCTTTTATTCTGCATCATTGAAAATGGTTTACAGACACCTTCCTATCTCAGATGAACATTAAGACAGCTTGTTAGCTGAGCTCTTCAGCTTTAGCCGAGACTGCTACAGAGATAATATTTGTCTACGAAGAAGCCAGCAAAGCAAGACTGGGTAAACAGAGCAATAGCCAGCCTCTTGCAGTAGTTATCTTTAATGCAGTAGAGAGGGGTGGCTCCCAAGAAACAAACTAGCAGAATAAGAGAGATGTGAGGACATACATTAAAGTATTATTTCTTCATGTGTCCATGTGATCTACCAACTGAATTGTTTCTAACACACTTTATTTCCAAAAGACCTTATCTCCTCCTGTCTTAGTGCTATCTCCACTCCTATTTTTGATTTGAGACCTCTTTGTAAAAAAATGTCTTGGAAGATCTCCTAATGCTTCATGTTAGCCAGCCTTCATTTCTCCCTTGTTGATACTTTCATTAAGCTGAGTTCTCCAGACAAGGAAGTAACATTTGAAGAGAAAGCAGCAACTTTCAGGCTCTTTCAGAGTACCAATATCCCTTAGATGCTTATGCCAGTGATATCCTCAGGATGATGATCAACAGCAAATAGTGTTGTGATTACAGAAAATGGGAGGACAAAGAGGACTGAGAGCACATTAAGAAGATACACCACTGCTGAAATTTGCTATAGCAAAGCCATAAAAGTTCCAACCAGCAGTGTAACTCACAGATTTCCAGTCTATTGTGCAGATTTATCTGCACAGTTTGGAAACCCAGATCTACCTTACAACACCTAACTAAATTCAATTTTCCTCCTCACTAGTATTTCACAGCAATATCTTATCCAAGGAGGTAATACAACTAGTTTGGAATAGAAGCAAGTCTTTAGCTATGTCCAAATGAAAACATTACAGAAGACTAAGACATGTGAAATTAAAAGCAAAGTGTTTGAGGAAGAAATACAGAGTTCTTAACATAAGCACAAATGAAAAAGATGCCAGTATGCTATACATGTAATACTTGTGAACAATTTCAGGCACTTTTCTCTGCCAGATGGAAGGTGCAGGGTGAAGATGGAGGGCAGGGGGAAGTAAGGAGCCACCTTTGAAAGAAGCCTTATTCCCTTGTGCAGACTGACACAGCCAAACAGCAGCCTGTAGAAACTATGTGAGTAAACATCACTCAGGATTCAAGAGTTCTTCAAAGAAGTGTACAGGAAGGTCAAACTAACATGAGAATGCCCAAAGGGATGACAAACAAGTGAAAGCTGAGCAAAAGCTGAACAAGTGTTAACATTCAGGCATCCTAAGAAACAAAGAAGGCAGGTAACATCCAACTTGACCATTAATGGTAGGTATTACTGGAAAAATACTTTAAACAGTAGTATTTCGGTAAGTGAAAAAGATGCATTAGACTTCATAATTAAAAGCTGAAATGTAACTGGTACAGACACTTTAATTTGGGTACTTCAAGCATTGTACCACCTGATCTGTCTTTGCATCACTTTGACAAAAGAACAATACATTCAAATTAGTAACATGAATATTATGCCCAGATGCATTCTTACTGATGCTTGTAACATCGGCATCATTATCAGAACAGGTTCACACTAAGAAAGATGGCATGCAGAAATTACAGGTACAATCACACACTTCGTGTGTAGCCATGACCATTTTATCAAAACAAAGAAAACTCGCACACCCTGTTTCAGCTAGGATCTGAAAAAGACAGCTGCATCCTATACAGCTTAACTAACCTTATCCATTTGCAAGGGAAACAGCTGGCTGAAAAACGTGGCCTAGGAGGCCTCCTGACACATTCTGAAATTGGAGCTGCAGGACAAAAAAAATCTAGAAACTGATGCTAAAGTACATCTCAAATATACTTAAGATAATGCAAAAAAAAAATAATAAAAAGCAATTTGTTGTTCAATCAAGCTTATATCAATCTAGGCTTTCTTAATGAAACAACCAAGCTTTTATTTGCATTGACATTCAAGAAGCTAATATTAGAAGCCAGAAATCTGCATTCAACTACTCTTTCAGTGATCTTTTCAACAGCTGTCAATGAGTCTGCTTACTCCTAATGTTCCACGGAGCTTTGCTGTTCAAGCACCTGGATCTCTAACATGGAATGGGAATCCTACTCACTCCTACTCACAGTGAACCTCTATTTACAAACACCATTTTGCACAATTATGCCTCTTTGAAATTTGTATTCATGTTTTAGCTTTGGTCAGGGATAGAAGGGTTCAAATACTTGGAAATGTCGAATGCACTACAGCATTCAAACTCAGGTCCGTGTACTGCCTTGCTTGCATCCTATAAGCAAGAAGCATCGTAACTAAATTTAACACAACAGGGCTGTGCCATTTTCTGCGGCTTCTTGACACTCTTGCCTACAGCAGGTGTTACAAAGTGTTTTTCTCTTTCTGCAAAACAGGATGCTTTTTGACCCTGGTTATCCTAATGTTTCAGAAGAGAAGGGGGAACATCTGAAGTTCAAACTTAGATTTTGCACATCATTAAAAGTAACTTGCTACACATTTCCATCAAATTTCAGACAACTTGCAAAGCTGCTTTATATTAACACAAATGTAACGATAGTTCTCCTTAAGTCTGGCCATGCGTCACAGCAGCTAATGAATTAAGGTGAAAGTAAACAGGAAGTAAGTGTTAAGCTCATAGCATGGCCTATGAATATAAATATAGCTGTCCTGGTTTTGGCTGGGAGAGAGTTAATTTTCTTCCTAGTAGCTGGTGTAGTGCTGTGTTTTGGCTTTAGTCTGAGAACAATGCTGATAACACACTGATGTTTTAGTTGTTGCTATGCTGGTCAAGGACTTCTCAGTATCTCATGCTCTGCCAGTGAGGAGGGGAAGAAGCTAAGAAGGAAGGGAGCAGAGGCAGGACGCCTGACCCAAACTGGCCAAAGGGGTATTCCATACCACAGCACGTTATGCCCAGTGTATAATATAAACTGGGGGGAGTTACCCAGAAGGGCAGATCGCTGCTCGGGTCCGGCTGGGCATCAGTCAGCAGGTGGTGAGCAATTGTACTGTGCATCACTTGTGTTGTCTTTCTTTTCTTCCTTTAGTTCTATATTCTTTTCCCTTGTTATTTCCCTTATCGTTATTAGTAGTAGATTTATATTATACTTTAGTAATTGGACTGCTCTTATCTCAACCCGAGGGGTTTACATTCTTTCAATTCTCCTCCCCATCCTGCCTGGGGAGGGTGTAAGGGGGGTGAGCGAACAGCTGCGTGGTGCTGAGTGACTGGCTGTGCCTAAACAATGTCAATATCCCACACATACCCAATTCCTAATAGCCCTTGACTTTTGGTTTTCTTTCTACGCAGTAAATTTGAACAGAAATCCTTGTTTACAGTGATGACCTTTTACTTCCCTGGCTTATGTACCAGCAGTTCCAAGGCATGGCCATGTGCGTTTCTAAGATCTTCTTTCCCATTTAATGACACCCAGGGGGACCTTGAACTTCAGGCTGTTAACTGGAGACTCTCCTACGACAAGCCGTACACCCATTGCCTTTTATTTACACCCCACCACCGCTGAAGGGCGAAAACAAAACCTTACTCTTTGGCGGCTTCCCGGAGCCCG